GTTTTAGCGCTGGCTATAGCTCCTAAGCTAAGAATTACTTATTATATTAATGCTATAATAAGCTTATAACTTTTTTATAATAAGGTATTTAAAATAAAAAGGGATCTTTTAAGTCCTTTTATATAACTTTTATTAAGATAATATATTGTAAGCTATTTAGCATTTTATTTAAAATTGCAATATATATTACTAAACCTAGCTTAATTAATAATTATAGCAAGGCTTGCTTTGCCCTATCCCTCCTTTAAATTACTATTAATTTTAAATATTTATTAACTTTATAATAAACTTATTAGCTTATAAGGGCAACTTATATTACTTAATAATTATTATAAATTACCTTTTAAAATAAGTTTTCTTAAAAGCAATATACTTTATAATTATAAAGAATTGCATATAATGCTTTATTACTTTATAATAACGCTATTATAAATTCCCTATATTTATTATTAACAATTAAGGCTTTAACTAAATAAGGGCGTTTTAAACTTTTTTATATATTTAAGTAAGCATAAAACGCCTTTTATTTATAGCATATCACCTTAAAATAAATAGTAATATAAAGTAAATAAATTAAGAAATGCAAAAGTATTTATATAATATTATTATCTTTTTATAAAATAATTAAGCTAACTACCTTTTAGCTTACTAAATAGCGCTAAATAATAAGGATTTAATAATAACTAGCTAAAGCCCAAATTAACTAATAAATAGATTTAATATATAAGTAATCCCGGGCCCTTTAAATATAACGGCATTTATAATTAATTTTAAGGGCTAAGCGGCTATGTTTTTAGACTATCTTTAAACTAAAATGGATATTACTTAAGTTGTTATTATTTTTACTTAATAATAATAAGAGTAGGTAGTTAATAAACGCCGCTAAATGGTAAAAAGGTTTTATATTAATAATTAAATATAGCTAGCTTTAAAGTACTTTTAAATTACTTAATTAATAAAAAAGCTTAATTAGCTATATTAAAAATATATTATAATAAATATCCTTATATTTTAAATAATTATCTTAAATATATTAAGTTAAGTTTATTTTATTTTTAATATTAATTAAATTAAGTATATTATAAAGAATTTATTACTTACTTAAATATTTATAAATACTTAGCTAAATGCTATATTAATTTTAAATAAAGTAAATAAAGGTTAAGATAAAAAATACTTTATAAAGAAAATCTTAGCAATTAAGAATATATTAAGGTATTTATAAAATAGTTTTTTTAAAAGGCAAGTTTATATTAAATAAAAAGGCTAAAATATATTAATATAAAAACCCTTTAAGAACTTATAAGAATTAACGGCTCTTAATTTATTTAAGGCGCAATAAGGAAATGCTACTATTTATAAGGGATTATTTATTTAAGATAATTGCAAAGCAAGCCTATACTAAGCTTAATAAGCTTATTTAAAGGCAAGGTGCAAGATAATAAGAATTATAGGCAAGGATAGAATAAAGATAAGTAATTTATTTTTATTATGCTATTTAGCTAAAAAGGTAGCTTTACTTATATAGGCTTTAAATAAATTAGGTAAAGCAAGATAATAATAGGATTTAAACTTACAACCTTACCTATAAATAAGTACTTTTAATTAATTAAAACTTATTATATACTTATTTTAAGTTTAGCTAGCTCCCTTTCCTAATATAACTTAAACTATAATAATGCACGTCTTTATATATTAATGGCTTATATAAAACTTAATGCAATACTTTAATTAAATTATTTAAAAAGTAAGAAATTTATAATCCCCTTAAAATTCCTCTACTTATTACTTTATTTAAGTAAGTATAATGTATATTATTTTATTAAAGCGCTTTTAAGATAACGCTAAAATAAGGGCGAATTATATATATAATAGTGGGAATTAAACCTATATTATTGCTAATAAGATATAACACTCCTTATTACTTAAACTTACTATGCATATAATTAAAGCTTATTTAATAATAATAATAATAATAGTACTTATATTCCTTAAAAGGGGATAGTTTATATTTATTTAAGTTAGAACTTAAAGTATAGTTATAATAATGGGATTTGCTTAAACCTAGCTAAGCATTTTAATAAAAATATATAAAAAGGTTAAGGCGGCTTAAGCTAAACATAAGGTGCAAAGAATAAGAAATTAAGCAAATAATGGCTTAAATAACCTTAAGCATTATAGCAAACTCTTAGTAATAATAATCCTTAAAATAATTAAAACGCTTTTATTTTTATTATTAATATAAATTAAATTTATATAAGGGGCGAACTTTATTTTAAAATTTATTATAATATATTTAACCTTTTATATATTACCTTAAAGTATATTAAAAGCATTAACTATGCCTTAAATAACCTATTAAAGCAAGTTGCTTATTATAAGCATATTAAGATTATAATATATAATAATATTATTATAAATAAAGGTTAAAAGCTTTATTATATTAAGCATACCTTAAGGAGTATAAAAAGCTAAGGCAGCATAATTATTATTAATAAGGTTAATAATAAAGGCCGATTTATATGCATAAGTAGTTAAGATAAGGGCAAGTATAATTAATAAAGGCTTTTGCTAAGCTAAAACAAGCAAATAATTAAATATATGCATAGCGATGTTAAAAGGGGCCGTGAACTTAGCAGCATTACCCTTAATTATATTAAGTTTACCCTTGCATTAAAATATATACAAAATATACTTATAATTAATATAATGCATACCTAAAAGGGCATAAAAGGCATTATATAGCATAGCTAATTTAACAAACTTCTGCTTATATTAATAGCAGAAATTATAATAATGGCGATAATTAATATATAAATCTTTATAAGCACTATAAATATACTTAAGAAAAATATTAATATTAGCTAAAACCTAAATGCAGCCCTTATATAAAAACTTCTTAGCAATAAAAAGCTATTAATTATTATTATTACTATTATTTAAAATAAAGTAATTATTAATAACGCAATAGCCTTTTAAGCCTTAATCATTATTATTAAAAAGATAAGGTAAGTTTCCTTTAATATTAATAGCAATAACACCTTAACCATTATAATTTCCATTAAATTCACTAATAAATATTATTTTATTAATATTAGGATTATAATAAAGTTAATATATTTATATTATAAGTATAAATTAAGTATAAGCTAGGTATGATAAGAATATTATTAAATATAAGTTAAGTATATTATAAGGTAGGTAAGTTAACGTAATAAAGAATTATATAAATATTGCTATTAATAATATAAGGGGGGGGCATTATTAATTAAAAAGTTAGGTTTATAATATAAGTAATAAAGAATCGTAAGGGTATTATTAATTAATAAGAATATCTTTGTTAAGGTTATTAAGGCTGTATATTAAATATAAGCTAAAAGAATAATAGGTTAATAATAAGAGCAATTTATTTAATTAATAGTAATAATTAAAATAAGGTAAAGCAATTAATAATATAGCTACGTAATAAAGTTATTAAGGAAAGGTTGCAATATTTTATAATTATAATATAAAAGAAACTTAAGTATAAAATGGCTATATCATAACGTAAATTAAGGTTAAAGAATTAATAGCTTGTAATTATCGCGATAAGCAAACGGCAATAAGCTAGGTATATAGCTAATATGCACTGCATTTAATATATATTATAGCATAATACTAACTTAGCGCGTTATAATGCTGCAAGGTATATAAATATTAATAAGGTAGGATAAGGATGTATAACTTATACCTCCTTAATTAAGCATAAATAAGCCTTAGCATAATTAATATATATAGCTTATATATAATTACAATATATTAATTAAGGATTGTATATACAGTAGATATGCAATTAGCATAAGATCGCAAGAGCCTTAAGTTTAATCCTTGCTATGCGTAATATAAGAGCGGAAAGGGGGTTATATAATGGGCTTGGGCTATTGCTTAAGCTGTAATATATGCCTATGCTAAGCCTATATTGCATTTAACCCTTTTATATAATAAGGCATATACTTAAAAAATAGATTTAAAGTTAGGCCTTTTTAAGGCCTAACTTACTTCTTAAATATTGCAATTTATAACTCCTTTTAAGTACCTTTTAATAAACGCTTAAGGCCAACCTATAACAACTCTTTAATTTAGGAAGTTCTTTTCTTTTAAGTTTAATTTTAAAAGAAATAATAAGTTAAGCTTAAAGTTAAGTATATTTAATATCTTTTAAATAATATTTATATATTTTTAAGTATATTTTAAATAATATTTATATATTTATTTATTTATAATAATTAGCATTAATTAATGTAAATAAATAAATAAAAAAAAGTAAGTAATTAAAATATTAAATAAGGGTAAGAGTATTAAATTATTATAAGTTATTATTAGCTGTAGTAGTTATTATAAGGTATAATAATAATATATAAGTAAAGATTAATAATATTAAAATCTTAATGATTTAGGTATAAAAATAATTATAAAAATAAGAGTATTAATATTTCTTAATATTTTAAGATATTTTAAGTAATGTTAAGCTTATAACTTAATAAAGCAATTAAGCAAATAATAGTAGATTATTATTATTAAGGAGAGAAATCTCCTTGCTATTAAATGCTTAAAAGGAGCCTATTTATAAGCTAGCGCTAGCATATGGGCATACAACCCTTGTACCTTTCAACACTTAATACCAGGAGATGCCAGAGTAAGTGGATATATGTGGGTATTTCTTTTGGGTATTTTGATAATATATGAGAAGAAAACAGCTTATTTCGGTGTAACTATTTAGGGTATCTTTGGATTATGTGCGTCAATTTTCGTATAAACAGTATTTCGGACTGCCACCACCCCAACCATTCCGGGTCGTTTTCGGAACCAGAACCAGGCTGGCCAACGGCATCCCGGAATGATAAACCCACTTCGGGCATTCAATGGTTTTCGCGGCGTACAAATGACCTAGGCCGTTGCTTCGCCTCCTCGTCCACTGTAAAAGCCTCAGACAGGCGGTTCCTATGGCGACTCATCAGATATCAAGCCGAACATTCGCTGATGCTGGTTTTGGCCGCAAACCCTTTGGGGTCCAGGTCTCTTAGCTGGACCTGGCTTGACGCTTCGGCATCGTGGAAGTGCACCGTGAATCCGCGGGAGTATTCGATTCCGCCGCCGTTCGGTCGCTGCGCGGTGTTCCCCGGCTGCTCATGGCTGCTGAACTCGTTCGTCCGGTTCCGGCTGCGCTTGACCTTCGACTGGCTGCTCATCCCGTTCTTTGCGTAGTAGGCCTGCGTGCTTCGGTATGTCGACGACATCCGTGGGAAGGCTCGGAGCATTATCAGGCGTATTGTTGGCATGCAGCAAGTGATGATGCCCACGTTGATCTCGATTGTTGACCAGAGGCTGACTTTCAAGTTGTTCCACGTCGGGTTGTCGGTGTCTCCGAATGTAATCAGACTTTGCAATCTGACAACAGATATGACGGTTACGAAGGTGCCCGTGCAAAACATGATGGCCACTATCAGGCATCTCAAGTCAGCTTATTTGATCCAGGGCACTTGAGACACCCGAGGTAATGGTTTCAAACGAGAGAGGACAGAAATGTTTTGAGAAGTATGACGGTTTCCAAGCTTACCACCAATCTTCTTTTTCCAGTGAAGCTGGAGCGAATGAAGCTGGGAGAGCGGAATTGCCAACATCCACACGTCTTCGACAATAGAGATTGCGGCTATAATGGTATTAGAGGTATGTCGACTTCAGTGCCGAAGGAGTGTACCTACCGTTTGCCCAGCCAAGAGAATTAGTATTGATGGGGCAAGTGCCGGTGTGAAGCCCATCCCACTGGTCCCAGAAGTAACTGATAGGTTTGCACTGGAAAACTGCGAGCAGTGCAAATAGAATACCCCCTGGGTTGAGAGAAGGTCAGCAATAGTTGAGACAGCGCAGTCGTCGTGGACGGCACCCGTTCAGAGAGCCGATCCCTTGTAGACATGTACAATGGATTGAAATTTGGGACAATAGAAGCACCGATTTGCCGTGAAATGACTTACATATTCCGTTGAAGACCAGAGTTCCCCAAAGTAGCCATCTCACAGTCTTGTTTGGAAAGATCTTGAGGTAGAAGAACAGTAGAGATGTCTTGAGCAAGGCCAGCTGAAGGAAGTAGAGCCAGGCCATGAAATAAAAGTAGTGTATAACCTGTTCATCACCGAGTCAGTCATGCACTTGCAAAACACCACTTCCGCATAGTAATGGATGGGACGGAAGGCTCGGATGTCGTTTGTCGAGATGAATCGTAGGGCGGTAAGAAGACAGGGCATACTCCATCCCGGGAATTAGAGTGGCAGGAACTTTGCTTACATTAGTGATCTGCTGAGGTTTCAATGTCCATATATCTCTTCCTAAACCGTTGGGAACCAGTCCTTCAGAGGTGATGACGCTGCTGGGAACGCCAACGAGGATCGTCGCGAGTATGAACCAGTCGTCGAGGCCAAGACCAGTCTTGGCGATGAACAGTTTGAAACCCAGTCGCATGATGATTGTTGCGCCCGATATGACTCCCAAGGTGACCGAGACGATGTTGTAGTGCGTTCCCTCGTCCCTCACCGGCACGCCACAGGCTGTGCTGGAGACGTTCTTGACGACCAATGCATCCGGAATCGTACAGTTCAAGGTTACGCAAGTCGTGACGGTCGCCATGAGCTCTGCGTCGCTACACACGCACGCCGCATCGGTGCATTTCGAGCTCGCCAGTCCGGTGATGAAGCATTTCAGCTACCGCGAGGAAAGGGTCAGTGAGGGTCCGAGGAGGCCTGGACGAGGATGAAGGCGCATTGTCTCTTACTCCACAAGGTGGCAGCGCTTTGGACAGCGCAGCGAGCTCGGAAGCCGCATCGCTGCTGGCCTGTGCAAGCACAGACGGCAGAGCGAGGGACAGCGAGGAGAAGACCCGAAGGAGAAGCATCGTCACGACGTTGCCTGGAGCGGTTGAGGTCCCGCGGTGGAAAGCATCAGTCACCAGGTATGAAGGTCGGGGGGTCTCGACGGGGACTGGAGAGGAAAAGATGAAGTGATCGGCCCAGCGTGCAGGAACCTCGGAGAATTTACATGCGGATATGGGCGATTTGGATTCTACTAGCGCAAGATGAGCACGCGGGTGGGAAAGGAGGCAAAACTTCCAGTTGTGGAGCACCTCCCGCCGAGTTCACTGTATCCGGTGCTGGTGGCGCATCTTAGCATGGCTAGACGAACCCGATGACCGGCTGATAATCTTTTCGCCAAGTGGACACCCTCCAGCAACCATGTGGTCTTGGGAGGGGCTGGATGATCCAGCATGGATGATCTCGGCGGCCCGCCCGGTTGAACAGCTTGTCCACTGTGTTCGTATATCGTGCGTAAGGCTCGACTTCCATGGCTTGTTGGGGGCAGGGTTGAACGGCCACCGACGGCTTCGAGTCGGCCGAATGCAACCTACCAGACCTGGGGTCTCCCGAAGAACTGGAATGCAAGGCACAGGGGCACACGGACCAAATGTCCTATTGTGTGCAACGTCGTAATTGACATGACAAGACGTTCGGTCCTTTGCAACGCACTGCAACAGGCCACTGGCGAATTGCAGGGCAGCCTGGCCAGCTTGCGGCGTGCTAAAGCAAGAGAAACGCACCAACGATATATGCAAGCCCGGGAAGCCGTCGCAGGAAAACTGGGCCTTGTGTGGGCCTATAACGCAACCTCGGTGCGAAACAGGGGCGAACTTTGTTACCGGCGTGGCCAATTCCTTCGCTGGTCTCAACCCATCGCCGTCATGAACGCATTTTCGACACTGCCCGGGCATATTAAAAACTCCCTGGCAATTCTACGAACATCCCTTTCACAGCCCATATGAGCTGCGCTGCATGGTAAGCCGCACGGGGCGCCGTGTGTGGAGACTAAAGGCGAGCCGCTTGCCCATTCGAGGTTCGAGGGACGCTTGTTGCAACAGGCCTCCACCATTATCAGAGGGTCTCACCCGATATTATACAGTGTGGCACGGTAGGTTTTATCCCCGGTACTATAACTGAGCTGTCACCTGTCACAATTGCACTACCCGTAGACCCTGTATCCTCTGGAGAAATTGCAGTCCCAGCACGCGTTGACCCCTTTCCGTTCCGGATCGACGCGGCCGTGGGCCCTGTGAGGCCTGCCGGTGGAGCCTCATCCACTGCTCGGTAATCTTCACGGAGCCATCCGACTCTGCTGGTTTGTTGATGAGAAATCGTGCGCACTGTCAAGCTGGGTCGAACCTCGCGACTCCGACCTAAGGGCGATCTAAACCCTTGACGCAAGCATCGTAAAGTGGTCCTCCATCGGTCATTTTTGTGTCGATGATGCCTATAAAGTCCGGGGGACAGGTCTCGACAATGACTCGCATACCTTCACTGCTGAAAGGGGCTCGGGCCTAATTGATCGACATGACGTTCAACGTCGGCGGCGATCATATATGATCTTCGAGTTCAACTATTGACAGACGGCGTGCCGGGAAATGGCTTAGTCTATAGTTGACATATACATAATAGACAATAGCGTTTGAGCAGCCACCGGGACTGTTCGAGACGCCCGTGCATCAGACCCTTCTGATGCCGTTGTTGTCGGCACTCCTTCGGCGCCGTGACTAATACACCAATTCATTGCCGACATGCAGGGGGCGTTTCTTGGCCAGCTCATCTGCACACTGGTAGAGCTCGCTGCATTGTGTGGCTCGCTTCGGACAATGCACCAGGTTTGCTACAACACCTCCTACATCCATCGTGAAACAGGCTTTTGCACGTGGGGTTTGCATGGTGATGGGGGACTCGATAGTCGTCCGGAACAGGATTAAAATCTGCCGAGACAACTTGTCACATCCTGAACAATACCACCACAGCCCCCACGTGCCAGCTCTCTCTCTGTCACTGACACCGTAACGGTGGTTACTACCATGCCCTGCCTCCAAAGGCAGGTGATCCCCGTGCCCAGAGAACCGGTTGTCGGAACCTGGCGAGTCTAGCTCTTCCACTAGCTCGATGGATGATTTCCTGGCTTCTTGGGAATGGACTTCGGCACCGGTGGTCATCTCGAAAGCGTGCGCGCTCTACAGACGAAGATTAGTATCCCGCCAGAGTGCTTCAGCCTTTGATAAACGGCCGAAACTTGTCCACGCCACAGAAGTCAATCAAACACAGCCCCTCTAGCCTAGGATCCAAGAGTTTGCAGGAGGGCACGGGGTTTGTTCTGCTTCTGTCACTAGCCCAGAACCGGTCCCACTAGGCTGCTAGGATGTCAAGCACCCGCTGCTTGGCCCTGGAGAAGCCGCAGAAGGTTGAAATAGAAGCACTGCATCATTGCACCGTGGCGTAGCCATGAATATGGCATGCGGTATCAACGACAACGTGGGCTGCACGTCTTGAGGTAGTGCCGTAGATCCTGCCCGAGCGCACGACTCGCAGGAGCCAGAACATCAGACGGCCCCAATCATGACCTCCAGGTAGGTGGGTAACATTCGCCCCAATGTATATGCCGTGAGGTAACACTCGTCACGCCCGGCAAACAGGTTTGGGGAAATGCGGCATTGTCAAGAACGCAGCGCCGACAACAGTGTTGAGGGAGCTGGATTGATCCACGACGAGAAGCGCAGAATTATAAGTGCTGAACGAAAGAGGTCTATTACATGCGACCATAGTATCCATAAGAAAATACCGGATCCCGTCCGCTCTCCGATTGTCAAGCTTGTGAGGGCGATTAGTAGTTGAATCGGTGACGATCAGCAAATCCCGCCTGTTGCATGTTTTCTTGCCTCCATTTTTGTTGCGATCGTGAGTGGAGTGGACAGTGGATCAATCTGGTGGACACAGAGTGGTGCCTTACACAGTATTCCATTTTGCCCTTTCCACAATTGCACTTGGCCTCATCCGGCACAATGGTTCCTGTCGGCTAGGCCCGGGGCAAATTCAGACGACCTAGCTAATTTCGGCAGGTCAGTTACGACGTAGGCACGAGCTCAGTCACGCCGCAGGGCGCTTGTGTTCAACATTCACACGACACTCAGGTGCTATGGTCTACAGTCGCAAGCGGTTTCATTCAACGGCGGCCGTAACATTCACGGCCTTGGCATGCACTCTCTCAACAGACCGGTCTGGCTCTTAAGCGGTGGATTCAAGAGGTGGTATCTGCTCCACTGTCAGCTTTAGCCCACCTACCGGCATACGCGATGCAGTGACGGAAATTCAATGTGGTCCCGCAGCCATTTCAGAGGGTGGGGTTTATGAGAGGATTACAAACACACAAGGGTGAATTGTCTGAGGATGATGATGTGGGTTTCTTTTCCAGAGCTTGAGTGACAAGTCAACAATCGTGGTTAACGGACAGCCCAAAACCCAGCTGCTCGGGCTCTCGGGCTGCTGGATTCAGATGTCGGCTAGAGGCCACATCATCTCATGAAGGTTGACAGAAACTGACGAGTGCGAGTGCGCTCCACCAATATCGGGTCAGTCATCGGTTGTGACCCCGGCAAAATGAAAGATCACTGAGAATTGGTCACTGAGGCGCTTTTCGCCGACAAAATCGACTAAAAGAGTCTTGTCAATCCGAAGCCGATGATCTTAAGATCATCGGGTCTGACTGCCCAAAATACTACCTTTGCAACTGCCGCGTTGAGCTCGAAAAAGCATTGTTTTGTGAAACCGATGTCACACGCCACATACGGGTCTGGACATTCAAGAGACCCAACCGGAACTCATTCCTCCGGGTCTGTATTATTCCAAGAGCGTGTGGTCGACATCGTGTTCCAAGATCGCAGTCATACAGAGCCTCAACGAGGCATTTATCAAATGTGGCCGGAGTTGCCTCTGTGGCCGGGAATGACATCTATAAGCCAACTAACAAGCTAGAGATGGTCCTTGTAGGAGAGTGAGCACTTTTTACATGGTGCATAGAAACTACTGCCGGCCACTAACTAACCAGGTCTTTATATGAGGCGGTCAATGGTTCCCATATCAATTTACCGATGCACTACTGCTCTTGAGTGGAACAAGAATGGAATGTGTGTTTGGCCGCATTGCCCCTTAATGTCGTCACTAAAAGCATATTTAATTTGGGAACGCGTGAATGCGCCACCACTGACCACGAGCAGACGCTTGTCATAAACCCGTGTCCACGAGGCCAGCAAGGGGGCAAGAAGATATATGGAGGAAAATAAGCAGGGAGACGACAAGGGCTGTTGACTCATGCTTTCTTCAAGTTTTGTTCAATAGAAGCTCATTTAAGCGTGGCAAACCCCGGCAGTTTCAATAGAGTTCATCGGCACCACATTAAGGTAGACATCCTCCAATTGACTCATTGTTTTGGGCACTGCAAGATCGTATCTTGGAATTCAGGACGGGACTCGGCCGCTGCTCTAGGTATCAAGATAGGCTACATTTCCTAACAAATCTTAACAAGACGTGGCCATTCCAGTTCGACTCAGAGTTAATACTTGTTGAAGAAATTGATGAGGACAATGCAAATCACTTAATAATCCTCAAACGCCAGCAGTAGAACCCCATTCGACGATATTCCACACCGGCGTCTTTGCCGGTGGACCACCGCATCCCTTCAAACCATAAACTCTGCGCCATGTAACATATCTATTCCTCGATACTAATCATTTAAACTCAGTTGAGTGGCCACCAATAGGAAGGCAAGATGATAGCATTTTCGCAAGGTATTGAGAGATCGCCGTAGAGAGGGACCAATGCCGCATACCTAGATGGGATGGCAATTCTCTGCGCGATGGGAAGACTCTTAGTGAAGGGCTCAGGAAAAATCACCGAGACTCACTCTTTAAGGTAGCTCACCTCCAGAAGTGATTGGCCAAGACCTTGTGAAGGTCATTTTTATGTGCGTGTGCGGGGACCTGGACGTTAAGCATGACGGAGTCTGTTGTTGGTGATGGACCTTGACGCATGTTCAGTTCTTAAGAACGCCAGCAGGTGAATGGCAGCGACTGTCATGTTGCCCATGGTCTGCCATTGTCTTCTTGGAGCAAGTATTCCCTACAAGCTGAGGTAGATTTTGCAGGCTTTTGTCTTCTGGCAGATCTCTGCCCAAGGTCCTACTTGCAGGATACTGTCGAGGAGAATTATTCTCCACTTGCCTGAAATAAGTCGAGTCGCCCCCAACAACCATCTGCACTGGAGGAGGTCTAATCTTTTGGTGAAGGACTTCAGTGAAAAGTGGTCGCTTGCTAGAACTACTCTACACCACGATTCCAAAGTGAAAACTCGCAATCACCATCCTGTCGATGAAGACCACACAAGTGTAACCGACCGGCGTTCCTAGTGTCATCCATACCATCTAGCAAAGTCCATCCGTTGAGCTTCGAACACAGCCATATTAGTGCATGGCGCTCGTAATTGGCAGTTATTGAGGAAGATCGCCGATACAGTATTGACAGCCTCATTAATGCTGAGTGACCCATAGCATGCTTGTCACGAGGAATGTGGCTGGCGGAAGGGTGGAAAGTGTGCTCATATCGTTTGCAGCAGTTCTCATTCAGGAAGAATCTGTACCGGTGCTGGCAGACACTATCATTGGTTCACTAAGGTCAACTGGTCATTCGGTTATCCTGCATTGACTGAAGAGATATAATGCATAGTACCCGGGCAAGGCTGTGCTACCGGGTGGCCACCTGATATTTAATGGATTCGCAGAACTACCTCTATTTCAAGGACTCGGCTCAAGCATAATCTCAAGCTCGTTCTCATCCTACCAGAATCTAACAAAAAACTGTTTCTGTGCCTATTGTTGTGCAAACATGTCAAAAGGAATACACCACACCTTTATAGACAGGACTGAATTGTTTGCAAGGAGGTAATTCAGAGTCAAAGCAGCCATCTTCATTTCTATCACGGTGGTTCTATATATCCCAGCCCAAACCGACGCGAATTACCTAAACCCGTCTATACCCACTCCATACTTCCAAAATACCGATGAAACATTATATTTGTATGTACATAAGACTCGCTGCAATGTGGACCCGTAGATGTACCAGCCTGTATGCTTGCATGAGGGATTTGGGAAAGCACTGCATAACCTGCACCCAGACACACGCTTCGCTGAATAGACCAACCTGTGATCAACCAACAGAAGGCAACAGCAGCCATAATGGTGAAGCATCCACTTGAACTCGAGACTAGTCTGTGTGACGGTCATGACCGCCAAGCCCCCATTTTCACCATGATACTCCCAACACAGGCCCTAGTAATTGAAGATCATGAGAGATGGGTTCAATACTATAGGAGTGAGGGCGTGGCTCCCTAGTACGACGGCCATGGGAACAATTGCTGTGAAGTCGACGATTTCCCAGCCTCGAGGAGCGAAGAGTGACAAGTAGATCATTCCACCTGTGAAGAGGAGTACGAAGACGTACCTTTGGACATGTCAGCGCCAAGCAAACAGAGCCTAAGGGTTGACGCAAGGGTGTCACACTCACAGGTACTTGAAGGACTTTAGAATCTTCGGCACCTCTTGGAAGAAGTTCGAGTTCTCCTTCTCTTTGGACGTCGCACCCCATTGCATGTTGATGTGTAGCAGATGGGCAAGCAGGGCACAGCTGACGTGGAAGGACAGGCCACCGAAGAAGATTGCCATCATCGGGGTCCATTTGAAGTTCTCAATGATAGACCCAAGGAGTGACCGCTCGCCGGTCCGGTAACGGATGACGGCGAGCGAGATTCCTCCAGCAAGGTTAAAGACGACCAGGAGCGAGACGAAGACTTTCCACGAGGGCAGGTAGAAGTGGTCCAAGCTGTCATCGAACCAGCCGACCAGGAAGTAGTTGAGGACTGTCATTGGCAGGCCGACACCGATGGCGAAGTAGGAGCAGATGTAGGCAAACACGCTGATCTTGGATGACAGCATCATCCGCGAGCCGAGGAATGTCCGGATAAGCTTCGTGAAGGGGCCCTTCGTCGGCCACTTGTACAGTGGGTTGAACACCATCTCGCTGCAACCATAGGCGTACCTGGATAGACTGTCAGCTTCCAAATGACAAGTCAAGGCAATAACGGGTTTTCGAGAGGGACTTACTTTTGCCAACGGGCAATCTCGTCGTAGATGGTCAAGGACACGCCTTCCTTGAAGCCATCGCCATGGTAACTAGCAATGCGAACGGTGCTCCCCTTGATCTGCATCCGGAGGGCGATGTCGAAATCCTCAGACACGTGGCTCTCGGACCAGTAGTTGAGGTCCCCGTTCTCCTCGACGACGCCGACGTCCTGCACCGCCGCCCAGCGCAGGAAGGCATTGTGGCCCACAAAGGGGGCGACCTCACCAGACCCGATGGAGAACCGGATAGCGGTGTACACCATGTTGGTGAAGAAGGTGATCCCGTTCTCGAAGTAGTCCCAGGCGACCTGCATCACGCCAGTCGAGTGCTGTACGATGGCGACCTCGGGCGAGAGGAACATCTCGGCCGCGCCGTAGAGCAGGCAATCAACAGGCTATGGAAAAGTCAGCAGTGATCCACAATTGGACAGCCTTGTATTAGTACTTACCACACGCGTATCAGAGTCGACGATCAAGATAAACTCGCCAATGCGGATGTCCCCCTCCGCCATGGCCTTGGGATTCTCCCTGAGCGCACGGCCGAGGGACTCGTGGTAGAGGTTATCCAGCTCCTGCTCCTCCAGCATCGCGGGGTCCGAGTCGCGGTGCCCCGGCTGCAGCGCACACCGGGCGTCGACGGCGGCCTGGAGGTACCCCTCGACCTTCTGCGACAGGTTCAGGGCAAAGTTCATGTTGGAGGCCTTCTTGAACTTGCCCCTCCGCTCGAAGCCGTCCTCGCCGTGCTTGGGCCTCGCGACCCAGCCGATGTTGTTGTCGTGGTAGAACTCGCGCCGCGCCTGGGCCTCCTCGTCCGACATGCCGGCGCGCATGCCGTCGTCGTTGATGAAGATCGAGGCCGTGCCGCCGCGGGACTCGTAGAACGAGATGGCGGCCTGCAGGGACTTGACGGTGGGTATGATGACGCTCTCCATGCCCTCCTTGTAGACGGGCATCTGGATCGTGATGTGGGGTGGGCTGAACCCGAGGGAGTAGGCGGTCTTCATGGACGGCTTGATGCAGGAGTAGTGCCGCGAGTTCGTCTTGAGGCCATTGAGGGGACCGATCATCTGCCAGATGTCGCCAAAGATGACCTGGAAGAAGAACAGCCCGGCGAACATCAGGAATGGGCAGGCGGCGATCAGCGCGAGCCTGATATATTGGCCGTCCATCATGCTCTCAGAGACCAGCTCGCCGATGGAGAAGCCGTAGACGAGGACGATTGCGAGACACACTCCCATGCCGACAAAGAAGGCACTGTGTAACATGAAAGGCCGGTTGACAGACTCTGGCCGTTCCTGTGACTCCTTCTCTTCGTCATCACCATCCTCTCCCTGCTCCTGGACTTGAACGCCGGCAGCCCCCTTCTCGGGGAACATTGAGAAGTTCGACACCGAATCCGATGGCGACTGGAAGGGACTTGCACCGGCAAAGGGCGAGGATATCGGAGTGTGCATCCCCGAGTTGCGGCCCCAGACGTAGGTCAAGAGCTTGTCTTCCATCCTCTGGGCGTGGGCCAGGATGTGCTGGATCTCGTCCTGCCAGACGAGGAGTACCCCCTCATGCCGGAGAATGGCACCGTACTGGAACTTCTTGACGCCAGAGGAAGTGACTGCGGCGAGGGAGTCAAGGATCTGGAGCTGGGACCCTCCTTTCAGGCGGAGTTCCTGTTGGCCTGGGTATAGGCTGGCGATGATGCCTGACAGCATCTCTGGCTTCATGGTAACGGCAACCCCGACGTTGAGGCGTTGCACTGCGAAGAGCAGCTCATCGTAGATGCTCTCTGGGCAGCAAACGTAGTTGCCGCGGGACTGTCTTAGTAGAACACCAAGGCCTTGCGATGGGTCCTTGATGGCTGGCTGCGGCATCCATCCGTTGGCAGATACTCTGTTGGCCAAGTAGCTGACCATCTGCGAGGGCTGTCAGTAATGATACATCGGATCAGAGGGAACTCCACTAACTGTGCGGTAGCGGAACTCATCGTCGTAGCCGTTACCTGACGATGAGCCGGTGGTGTGGAGGGAAGCTGGTCTTGAGCGAGGAGGAGTCCTTGATGACAGGCTCTCGCGTTGAAAGTGGGCGCGAGGTGGATGGATGGGGTGGAAAGCAATATGATCTGGGTCTTGAGAGGCACCGGGAGTGGGAGGAAGGGTACTCGGCCCAACTGTTCCGAGGATGGAACTGTCGATGGAGTGAGTGGGAGACATCCTTGCTTCCAAGCCGCTGTAGCAACGAGGAGAAGTGGTGCCGAGGGGGTGCTTGCTTGAGCGAATGTGCAGAAGGGCGTTCAGAGTTGTGTGGACTCAAAGCGATCGTCGAGATTTTGTCTTGTTATAGGCAAGGCAACGTGGATATAAACGACGGGACAGCCTCAGCCGCGATGGGGTGATGAACGAGTGGGATATCAGTCGGGCCACACCGTGCAGGAACGCTCACGATCGGGAAGCGTGGGAGTAGACGCTGCCGCTGGCGTGCTCCTGCCCAGGCTCGCCCAAAACAAGCAGTCGAGAGAAAGAAAGCTGATATGGACTATTGATGAAGCTGAAATCCCCAGGCAGAGAGGTATGGCGGCGAGACTAGACTTCCGGAGCTGCAGAGGCCTCGGTGGCACCGAAAAGCCGGCAAATATTGGATACTGCAGCAAGACCTAGAACAGCTGGGCTGGAGAAGGACGATAAGGGACGAGTTGGGCATTACCTAACCTACCATTGGTAGCAGCTTTGGGACCCTGTTGACACACAAGGGCCTGATGCTTGCATAGTGTCAGAGCGAGGTGTGGGAGTGCTTTGGGCAGACGCAGGTGAGCGTGGTAAGCTTAGCCTCTCGTAGTCCTGTCCATGGCCCGGCCTGTGTGAGGTCGAGGGACTTGATCTACCGATATCTGGATACGAGGTACATGTGAGCCATGCTTTATCGGCTGCTGGCTGCGAGTGCGAGTGGGAGCAGGAGCAAAGTAGCGATCGTTCTTCATGCAGCCTGTGCAGCAGTGGGCTGGCCCAATTAGGCACCAGCATCGAATCTGGACGGGCGTGCTGGCTTTGCATCAGCTGAGTGACTGCTTCGAGTCACCATCTCCAAGGAGACAGCCCAGATCGGAGAGTCTTGACGGGCTGCTGCATGTGGAGGCTCCCTGGTGCTGCCTGCGCCTCGGGCGAATCGACTTGATGGATGGATGGCCAGGCCTGGAAGCGCGCGGCGGCGGCGACAGTGGTGTTCAGGCTGGATGAAGCACACGGGCACATGGTCCTCCGAGGCGCCACGCATGTTCTCACAGTCGGTGCCGGTAAGCCACGAGCGGAATGAGCCAGCATGTGTCGCCGTCTTGGTTCGCGGAGCGACAAAATGTAGGTAATTGGCCAATTCCGCGGCTGCCCATGTGGGCTAGACCACGAGGGATTGATACCCCTGTCAAGTAGAGGAACTTCGACCCGTTTTCCCCAAGCCCTTCCCGCCCGGAATCTCGCCGAAACGGCTGCTTGTCGCCAAGGGGATAGGGTGCAACGCCACAGCCAGGAACGCGCAGGGTGGCTTGCCTGGAGGGCAACGTCGATCGTCGACCCAAGATTCCACGGATGGCACGCAACAACAGGATCTGAAGGTGTCGTGGTTGAGTGCAGAATTTCACCGGACGAGATGTGTGTGTGGGCAAGTGGGAACCGGGCATTCGGAATCCTCTCCCAGAATTCGAGCAGGAAAAGTGCACAGTAGCTCAACATTGCGATGCATGGGTCTGCTGCAGCCAGGGTGGCAGAGGATTTAGAGAACCCGAGGGGAGCCACTAGGCTAAAAATACTGTAATCAAAGACATGTCTTATCAAAGACATGTCTTGGCCAGAGGCAACGTCGTAGCGGCGACAGACACCGGCGTTGCCTTTCAACCCCTCTGCAGCCCGAGGTACCTTTCACTGCATCTCTGTATCCATGTAGGTGGTCTACTGACAGAGGGAGTCACAGAGCGCGAGAAGGAGGGCGGTACGCCATTAGACCCTGCTCGAGCTAGTGATGCAACAGCATGCAGCAACATGCAGCAACATGCAGCTTGCTCGACACTACTGCGCCATTACTTGGGCTTGACGAAGGAACACTCGGTCAAATCCTCCCGCGCTTCCACCACCACGCTGCACCAACTGCCAACTTCCAAGCCGCGGACATGCCCAACTGAGGGCTGCCAGATAATTCCGCTGAGCTGTCAAGCACACTTCCCATGCTGTCTTGACACCGGGGAACGGACGCCAGGTCTTCCTTGTCAGCGCCACCGGTCCAAACAAGCAAGGAGACCGGGAAGACATCCCCGATGAGCCGCGCAGATGCTGCATTCCCAACAGAGAGGCCAGCCCTACCAGCCATCTCATACCTCCAACTCTGGTTGTTGGGACTGTGGATAACCGCCCTGGCAAAGATGATTGGAGGTCTCGACAACAGACCACTGATACCACGCAAGAGTTTGCTCCGATAGTGCTGCCCGCGGGCACATCCGAAAAGGTTAAATTTCCTTGGGTGGTGTAGCAGGGTCAGGGGCCGCGCTCTCGAGGTTACGTTCTGATAGAGAGTTCGAAACCCCAGGAACATTACTCTGTACTGTACTGTTGCGTAGACCAGTGGACTGTTCTGGGTGGCTTGTTTGCAAGAAAGCTCGAGGGCAAAATAGACGATCGACGATCGCACCCGACAATGATCTTCCTACAGCCAGGTACCCAAGGCACCCCGCAGGATGTCTTCTAGAAACTTGGTAGATAGGAGCAAGACTTTGATTCAACAGGGTATGCAATCTGAAGATCTTGAAGATCCTAGACTAAAACAAGGAAAGGGGGGGGGGGTAATAAACAACCAGGGGCACGTTTCTTACTCAGCCCTGGTCCTGCTCTCCCTCCTCCCGTAATCAGCGCGATGTGACCGTCCCAAAATACGTCAAAACGCCCAACTCTATCAGTAATACGAGATATTAAGTGCGCCTTCCCCGTCATCACCATGATTACAGTTCAGCGGACCCGCAGGAGCCCGATCGCCACATCTTGACAGACTTGACTGTCATTCCCCTCGAGTCGCCCTCCCCCCACGTCGGTAGCCACTGATCAGCGTCATCCCAGAAGGTCCACTGGGCATTGGTCGCCGCATCGACCCAGGGCTTGCCGCCCTTGCCATCCCTACATGCCGGGCACGCATTATTAGCTTCGGAGGCTCTTGACTGCTGGGCGGAATATTGAACCTTGGGGACACTTACTCAAACCATCCGTTCCTGGCCCCGACGGCAACATTGAGGATGAGGTAGAATTCTTGGTCGAAAGGTGCATTCCCTGTGGTACTTGTAGTGTTCGTCCAGGGGTTGGCGACGAGCGTGTCGTTCTCGGACTTCTCAGAGAAGCCCCCTTTTCTCCCACAGGGTCTTGTCCGCGTGGAACTTGGTGTAGAGGACCTGAGTGAGCCTGTTGTCGAAATACATGTAGATGTACTTGTCCGTCCTGGGCACAGTATCAGTAGGAAGCTCTTAGACGCGAAAGAATGGACGGAAGAACTAACCACTCGATTCCAAAGGTGTGGAATGAATCGGTGAAGTCTCCCCGGCGCTGGGTCCTCACAGCCATGGTCTTCCAGTAGCTATCCAGCACAGAAGTCGGGCCCCAGTGCAGTGTCGTGTAGTAGACGTTGCGCCCGCCGGGGTACGAGACCCCGTTGCCCCGGGACTCCATGATGTCCATCTCTCCGCTCCTCGGCCACTCGCCGTACGCCGAGTCTGTGGGCATCATCCAGATTGCCGGCCAGATCCAGTCGCCCTTGGGGAGTTTGGCGACAACCTCGACCCTTCCGTACTTGATGCCCATCTTGCCCTTGGTGTTGATCCTGGCTGACCTGACTGGCGGGATCATTTCTCCTTTGGTCGAGTTAGAGTGGGCGACGCATGCAGCGGCTCTGTCCTCCGTGCAGGTGCCGTCGGCAGTGAGGTTGAGGGTGTAATCGTTCCACATCTGGTCCGTGGTGATGGGCGTGCTCTCGTTTGTGAGCGTTGGCACGATGTGGAGGCCCTTCTCGTCCGTGTAGACATTGGACGGGTCAGTGGTTGTCCAGTCAAAGGACCTCGTCCCGAACCCGTCGAGTGTCACTTCATAGTTCCAAAACTTGTCATCAAGTTTTCCCTGGTCAAATGCGTCCTCATATACGAGACATATCTGGATTTGCAGTCAGGATGAGAGACTGTGAAAGGGGCCGGGATGGACTTACCGGGCCTGATATTGCAGGTCTGATCTGGAAGTAGGCGACGACGCCTGCAGCACACACGCCCAAGAACACAAAGACATATATCACATAGTTGTTGTACTTTGTGCGTTTGAACTTGGGATCCTCCAGCCATGGCTTCTCATATTCTCCTCGGAGGCGGTATGAAACAAGCGTTTTCTGGTCCTGCCGGTGAAGATACCAGAGTGATGTGTTGGGGTTGATGTGCCGGTGGGGCTCATGACGAGAGAGAATGGGGGCTCTGGCGGCCCAAGTCCAGTGTACAGGTGACAGGGGACAAAAGTCTGGTCGGGAGTGTGGGTTCCCTTGGATGATGGCCCAGGGCTTGGGACTGGCAAAATTGGCCGGACTCGGGTGACTTTTGTCCTTTGCAAGATGCTGGACGGTCAGGGCTGTTTTCTGGACGCGCCTGAGAGGTTTGCCAAATTCAATTCGAATCCGCAGTCGCCGATCCGTCGAGGCGGGAAGGGAATATCTGCCTGGCCTGCCTGGCGAATCGTTCCCGCAGATGTTCTTGTCGACTTCTGGTCTAGACTCGATAGATGACACCCTTGTTCACGATGACACCCTTGTTCACACCAACACATCCCTGTCCGAGCTGCAGATACGGATACATTGGCTGGCAGGCCGGCTGGGTGCATACATGATTGGGAAAACGCCGACGCACTGCAGAGGCAGCTGCCCGACTTCACTGCCTCCACTGCCCCCACTGCTATTGGAAGTTCAGCTTGGGGATCTCCATTTTATTTCCTCATAATGGACCCATGGAACTTCAATTCTTGCTTTTCTGGGCCCTGCAGACCGTTCCTGCCTCCCCGGATCGAGCCGAGAGCTGCGCGCATGTGGCGGCAGATGCAACCCTCCGCCTCTGCTGGGCTCAGGTCTGCCTCTTCGGGGTGCAAATACTAATTCGATGGTGCTCCAAGTAGCAAAGGCCCAGACTACTCTGAGCGGAGAGGGTTATCAGGGCTTCTTTGTTTGCCCACGACAGACGGACGGCAGACTGGGTAGTCACCAAAAATAAGGATAAGCATCAGCGCAGGCCCCGGTCGTGCGGTATCAATCGTGTGGGGGTTATAGCGAGTACATATACGACAGGGATCGTGCAGCAACCTCATCAACAGGCCCGTGTACTCGGGTCCCACAAGGAAAAACAATATCAGCGTGGCCCTGGTGCATCATTTCTTGCCCGAGAAGATACCAGGGCTTTCAACCGGACTCACCGCCCGCCGCCGGATCTCATTCGCTGGGCAGTGTACAACCACGTGCAAGCCTGGATCAAAGCATGTTGGAAGTTGAGTAGTTACCGGTCAGGTTTCGTGGTATCAGTCTCCACTGGCAGCGCATGTCTGGCAGGTTGCTTATCTCCTGCAGTCATCATCATCGGGCTTACTTGCTGTCAGATTTTTGAGCCGGCCCGAAATGATTCCTTGCGGCTCCTCGTCGAGATCTACTTCAAGTACGTCTCTCACTCGAACGCAGCTCGGGAACCTTCATTAGTCAGGTGAATCTTGAGGAAGTCAACACGCCCCTGAATTACCACCCATTTTAATATCCACGGGTAGTCTTACGATGGGCAGAAAGTATGGTCACAGAAGTGCTGCTATTTTCCTCGGTCCCAAGGGATGCTCGCTGCTGGGACTGAGAGGATCCCTAGCTTGAACGAGAATCACTCCACTCTCCTCTCCTTCTGCTTCTCCCGCAAGGCTTCTCTTACGACTTCAACCTCTTCCTTCTCACTCTTCTTGCATTTGCCAAACATTTCTTAGTTTACCCACAACCAACCATTGCTGTATCACGTCAAGATGAGACTCAACCTTGCCACTCCCTTCCTTTCTAGCGTTATCGCTGCCCTGAATTCACCGAATGGCCTCGACCAACCGGGGGAAGGTCTGCTTCTGCAAGCCTCTGCAGATGACGCCACCCTTGTCGCGAGCAGGCGAAGCGAACCCACAGCTTGCATCAACCAAGCCGGCAATGGTCTTCATGTAGAGCCTGACACAGATGCAAGCTTCCTTGCCTCTGCGACCTTCTCGCAGGTTGCAACAGCCGCCGGTACCAAACCACCTGATCGGTACTCCGTTGTGCCTGGATGGGTCGATCTAAAGGCCTCCAATGGCGACGGTACCGGGTATCTCGGGTACATACTGTCGGAACTCTCAGATTACAACCCGGATCAGTGCGCCGATCTATGCAGCAGCTGGTCAGGATCGGCTTCGTGTGCATCGTTTGTGATCTTCTTTGAGCGTGCACCGGAGCTGGTCTGGCCAACCACCAAAGCGCCCTCCGCGGCCTGCCCTGCGTCTGCTGATTCACCGTCGGTGACGCTGATCAAGTGCGTCTTCTACTCTGTGCCACTTTACCCTGGCAATGCCACCAATGCCGGCCAGTACCAGGATGATTTTCATGTAGTCATCGCCGGGTCGACCGCCTTCAACCTGGAAGCACCAACTGTGAGCGGATACACGGGCCCCGTCCCCCTCCATAACGCGTCTCTGGACATCCCTCCTCCGGTTGGCAAAAATGGATACATCCGTGTCCAGACCTTTCCTGGCGCTGCATATAATCCCGGCACTTGCGCTCGCAACTGTGCCGATATCTCGGCGTACAGCCTCGAGCAGGGAAGTTCTGAGGTGTGCAGCTCTTTCAACTCATACATCCTGTACGAGAACGAAGCGAACGGGTGAGAAAAGTTCCTAATCGTTAAAAATAGCAAAAACTCCGATAGCTGATATGTGTGCGTGCTCTAGTCTCTTCACCTGCGCTTACTACAGCATCAACTACGGGGCCTCCTACGCTACTGTATGTCCCCACGTGCCTGTGTGACATGAATACAAGAACTAATCATGCAGTAGAACACCGGTCAATTTGATAAAGCTGGCAACCACTACACTATTGGAAGTAGCTACTCATACTACCTTGTGGGCTCTTCCGCACCCCTGGAGAAGCGCGGGATGGAGTTCATTGCTTGAGCTGAATACATTCCTCTTGCGGGCTGAAAGGGAATATCACTGCAGTAGTTGGCTTCAACTCTGTTTTAGGGGGCGGAGAATTTGCCACTTTGAAGCTTGACTTAGCTGCATGTCGAGTGGGTACGGAGTTGTTTGTGTGCTGCAGTCCTAGTATCACTAATTTCTCTTCCGCATACAATCAATATTGGAGCTCTAGCCAGCCACATGATTTCCTCACCTTAAGACTTCGGGGATTTATTCTCCTGGTTTCCTATCATGACATGGACAAGCTGACAATCTTGCATCAAGCTGAAGTAATTGAGAGCGTCTAAACACACCCAGCAGGAAGTAGCCGTACGGAATCTCGTCTTAATACGTCTGTTGATTGTGTCAGGATCAAAGGCAAGGCAGTCTTATTTTCTTTTGCAAACACAAATGGTCCCGTCCTTGGTTGCCAATGTCTCTCAAATACCGGGCTTATCTCATCCCATGTAATCCGTGCCTGGGCAGATGCAGAGTCCAGAACAACAAGCATCAACCAAGCTTCATTAATTAAGGTTCGCAAGCGCCGTCCTTTATTATGTCATTCCTCCGAATGGCAACGCGTTATGCAAAATCTCCTCCTGCCAGGGGATGGGTGCCGTAAGCTTACGGCTTGGCTGGGCCCCCATATCCCGTGGTGACACCCGTCACCGACATCACAACACAGTCAGACAGCTGCCCCCAAATAGTACAATGCTATCTGCTGCTTGTGAAGTCGTTGCGATACCGTCGGGGCTCGCAGACTGTGCCCGCAGACTGCGCCACACGTGGGGTGAACGGTGGCTTGAATGGGTGGTGTCGTATTCGATTGCATCGGCGCCATGGGGGGTTGAGCCGCCAAGAACCTAGCAATTGGTGGTATTTCCGTTGGATTCAAGGAACGGAATCGCGAAATGTCACATCGCGGGGCTGACATACATGTCTAACGTCTTTTCGAGATGAGGCAGATGCAGTGAGACCCAGGATGTCCGAATCTCGCGCGCGAGCCTCCTTCCTGAAGAGGACTAATGGGCCTGCATGCGCTGGTCGAGAGGGTTTTTGGAAAGCTTGACCATGGCAAAGTAGGTAGACGGGGGAAACGTTAGACGCGGAAAATACGAAGACGATGTATCGGTACTTCTGAGTCCGCCCTTACCCCCTTCCCACCCCTCAAATCCATTGGAGCTGGGATATCATCCAAGGCCTACACACGATATGCATGCGGATGGATCCGACCCACCATTCTGACAGTCGAGCCAAGCTTTTTGGGACTGCGGACGACAATACCACTCCGCGAATCGAGGATCACAGCATACCTCCAGCCTCTTCAGGTGCTGTGCCTGACTATCAAACAAACTCGACAAGATGGGGCTCCTCAGATAGCCACGCCCAGCCCTCGTGGATTTTCTTTCCCGCCCCACGGTCAAGGCGGCTGGCCCTGCTGGCCCTCGCACCTCGACATGTGCTTATGCAGCATGGTCGCATCCACCATCCCTTTCCTCCTTCACCGTCCCTCCCCGTGCGGGAACCCTCTTAGCCCGTGCTGCACTGGCAGTCCTTTTGCGTATGCAACGCCGAGGCAGTGCCACTTGGTTTTTTTTGCGTGTGTGCGCTGGCCTCCCGGCCATCCAGAAAAGCACACCCGTCGCATTGCCACGTAGATTAAATGTCTCAACTCAGCACGGTTCGCACTCCGCGCGCCGCAGCTGAAACCCCCAGCATCTCATGGGCCATATGCATCACCCAGCCCGGGCTGATAATATCTCATGATCTCGTCCCGCGGGCTCCTAACCCATGCCGAGCCACGCCGGCGACCTTATCAAGGGCGGCAGTGCTTCGAGAAGCTTTCGAACCCGGTCACGGCCAACCACGTTGCTTCTTCTGCTCCTCCGTCGAGCCAGCTGGGCGCTATAGCTGAAGCGTCCGCCAGCCGCATCGGATCATACGGAGACATTGGCACGGGAGCTTGCAGATGTCCCGGCGTAGGAACGTGCGTGTTGAGGCCGTCGCCGTGTCTTGGTTGCGCCCCCCACGCATGCTTCTGCTGCTCAGCATTGAGCACCTTGGTGTTGCGATATCTCTGTTGGGGTTTCACTCGAATCTGTCTCACGGCGACCCTGGTTCCGAGTAGGTCGGGTGTCTCTCCGCCGTCGTGCTAGCGGGAGCTGGTTGTTTTCTGAGACATGTTGTCTCGCTGCTTGACACGTGCAGAGCGTCACGCCACCCGTTGTGTTTCCGTTCCGTCTTGGCCTTCTTGGGTCACTCATTCGAGTTTCTTGGTCATCTGGTCGGTCTGTTGGGGAGCTTCCCTCCTGGGACAAGCTACTATTGATTGCAACACCTGATTTCCCACCAAGGCTCGGTCCGTCCCAGATCAGGTTGTTGATTGCTCACAATTTGCGGACGCCAGCAAACACATTGACCATGTCGGTATCAATCCAGCCGTCTTTTTCTCTTATTATCCTGCACAGAATGGAGGATGGTCAACTCCTGGTGTTTATGTATGCTTGTGTCCAAGAAGCACATTCCCTCACTTCACACTAGACTCTTCACAAACATCATGAAAGGAAAGGCCGTGTGGCTTGTATGAGTACAACACGACCAAGTGTTGCTGACGGCACTACAGTACGAGAAAGGATCACATAATCCTCTATGAGGTTATATGTATGTTGTGTCAGTATAAATATATGGGAACCATGTTTGTCTCTCGACCCAAGAGCGGGTCAAGGTGACTTGCAACACTCCATTTGAAATCTTGGATAACGCTTTGCGGTGTACCTCAGTAGCCTATTAAAATTGAAGTAACTATAACGGCTTGAAATTTGAATCTGTTGTATGGATGTTCCGCCACAATGGTATTCAAACATGGCCTCTTTTGTAAATAGAGCCCTTGGTGACAATATGAGGGTTTGAGTCTGATGGTGAGTCTGAGGGCGTGGCATATCATGATGAGGACATGTGCCCAGACTGCTATGCTTTTAACCTCTGGACATACATAGTCAACATGTATGGCTTAGTGTCACATGTGGACGGTTGTCTTTGGAGCATCACTGGTGACAACCTCTGCCTGTGACTCCAGACTCAACATCTATACCTAGATTGAATCATATCACAGCTCACTGGCAGGGCTCAGCTCTGGCCCTCCGTATGAATGTAAACCATCCTTTGCGGTCCATGGTCATGACTTTGGCGCAACCGAGGGCTTCTGGATTTACCTGTATTCTGCACTCCACCATATAAGCTATCAAAATTCTGGTAATTGCCAGTGTCCTGGCAGTACTTGAGTCTAAACATGAATGATTAACTGGTTTCTAAGTGAGATATTGCTCTCAAAATCATGTTTTCCCAAGAAAGATGTTGAGAAGCACATTTACCTGGTTGTGAACTATGTCTGTCTGGGGTTAACGTCAAGTATTTGTGACTTGGTCTAGCATTGATACTAAACGTCCAGTGTGACCTCTTTCCCCTCTTTGCTTCGATTCCTTTAAATGATTGAACATTGGCAATGTAAGCCCCAAGGTTCCATATTCAAGCTTCTACTAGCATAAACAGTGCTGCATCTCCGTCAAGGTGTAAAGTCGCTGCCACAATCTGGGTATCACATTCGACACAACTTGCCCAGGAAAATGAGTATTTAGGCAGAGCAATCTTAAGCTTGCCGAGAGAGTACTGAAGAGTTCCTGATCACAGCGTTGGACTGTACGGTACGGTATATTGCCGCCCAAGTCCTTATGACCTATGGTGCCCCATCTGACTTCGTTGCAATACTCTAGGATCTAGCTGGCATCGAGATGAATGGCGGACCATAGCTCCGGGCGTACCGGGACGGTACCCAGCTGATCTTTACCAGCAAACACTCCAGACCTAGGAATGCTAAAGTCCACCAGAGAGATGAATAGTTATAAATTGCATCGTGACGCTCACACAGAGTTAAACGAATTACCCCTCCTTCTCCAAGTCTGTAGATGCAAAGGCCAGCCAATCGCCCCAAAAGATGCGGTCGCCTGTGTCCGCGGATGTTACTTTACCCGGGTAAATGCCACTCCAACTTGGTTTTCTCATCAACGCAGACATTAAAGACACGCCTCGGGCTTGAAAGTAGGCCCCGCTCGGTGGAGAGAGGACCTGTTAATTGAAGATGGATTCCGGCTGAGAAGCGCCATCCTTTCCATGGCTGTTTTGGGAAACTATACGACAGCCGATATTGGATGGAGATCTTAACAACGCTTGTATATAAAGGACAAAACAAATTATAACAACATCAGTATTCTTTCCAATTATACCACCCGTCTCTGCTGTGAGGTTCAGACCAAAGACAATTGCCGAGCAACGATGCAACTCCCAAACCTCAGCCTCCTCGTGATCTTCAGTGCCTCGGCACTCGCAGCACTGAACAAGACCGGCTCAACCTGCACTGTGACGCCGTTGACGACAGGTCAGGATGACACGCCCCAAATCCTCGACGCCTTCAAGCAATGCGGCCGCGACGGCAAGGTGGTGCTGACCGAGGGCCTCTTCAACATCGGCCAGGTGATGCGAACAACGGACCTGAACAACTGCGACATCGAGATACACGGAACGCTGAAGTGGAGTTCCGACATACAGTACTGGCTGAGAAACAGCATCAGCGTGACCTATGCTGGTAGGTCGACCGCGTGGCAGCTAGGCGGCGTCAATATCAGCTTGAGGGGGTTTGGGAAGGCGCTATTCGATGGCAATGGCCAGTTGTGGTATGATCAAAATAGGAACCAAGGGAATCAGAATGGAAGGCCCATCAGCTTGACACTTTGGCACGCCAAAAACGTCCTGGTGGATGGCATCACCTGGCGGCAGAGCCAGTTCTGGTTAGTTTTGACGGTAGGCAATGAACGGATGTCGGGTGACTGATTTGATAACAGGCATACCTTTGTCGCATATTCGGAGAACATCACCATGACCAACCTCGACATGAACTCGACCTCGAACTCTCAATGGTCGACGGTCAATACGGATGGGGTGGACACCTGGAATTCAAAAGACGTAGTCATCTCCAACTGGACGGTCACTTGCGGCGATGTGAGTTACAAGAGTCTTCTCATCCATTTTCCTCGCCAGAAACAATCCCGTCTTCAACTTTCTGCTCTAAAACATACTGATTACAATCCCCATCGAAAAAGGACTGCATTAGCATGAAAGGAAATTCCAGCAATGTGCACGTCAGCAACGTCGTCTGCCACGAGAGCGGTGCAATGTGCATAGGCTCCATAGGCTCGAATCCATCGCAGCCAGACATCGTCGAGAATGTGTACTACGACAACGTCACCGCGTACCACAGCAGCAACGCCGCGTGGATCAAGACGTACTCGGGCCAGGGGAGGGTGCGCAACGTGACCTTCGCCAACATGCGTTTCGACAACGTGAACCAGCCGATCTACATCACGCCATGCATCTACGGCAGCTCCGGCTGCGACACCTCGCGGCTGAGCATCGAGGACATCCGCTGGGTCAACATCACGGGCACCAGCCGCTACAACGTGGCTGCTGGGATACACTGCAGCGCGGCGGCGCCGTGCAAGAACCTCAAGATGGAAAATGTGAACATTACACCCATAAAGGGCGGCAAGGCCAAGTGGTTGTGTTCCAACATTCAGAACCAGGCGTCAAGTGGGATTCCGTGTACCGAGAGCTGTCCTTCGAATTGGCCGCAGCAGTTGAACGGAGATCGCTGAAAATTGGGTTACCTGTGTGAAATGTAAATGTCTCTACGGAACTAGGCTTGAATATTGATTTCTCTTAGTCTGACATAAAGGGGTTCTTTTGAGGGACCGCTTAATGTTTGCGACCTGGATATTGTTCCTAACGAGCCACAAGAGCGATGGATGAGTCCGCTTTCAACAAGAGATGACTTGGGTAACCTTATGGACTCAAGTACGATCTGCGGCTGGCTCGTATGCACCACGTACTAGTACTGCTACTCTCAGGCACAAAAATTCAGAACAAAAGTGTGTATTATGTTGCTGTTATTAGAGCCAAAATAACCCGACCGACCCATGTGTGAGCCTACAGCACCTCCAAGGGGGCTTGGCTCACGAACCACGTTCCATTATTCGTGTCCACCGTGATATTGGTCTGCTTCGTCTCGCCCCCTTTCAAGCTTCCGGTCTCCACAAGCCCCCCGGCTACCGGCCGCTGCAGCTTGTTCGCACCGGCCTCAACAGTGAAGTTGGCTATGGGGATCTCCCAGCCGTTCCTGTTGACTACCGTCGGCAGCCCAAAGTAGTTCGCAGTCAGCCTCTCGGGCGAGATGTGCAGCTCGTAGTAGCCGCGGTAGTACAGGTCCTGCCACTGCAGCTCCTCGTTCGCGTTCTGCAGCCACGCGGAGCCCGCGTTTGCCTTCTCGAGCGTGACGTTCGCGCCGTACGGGCACGGGGAGGTCACCGCTGATCCGGCGAACTCGACGCCGATCGAGCCCTCGCCAGTTGCCGAGTCATAGCTCTTCTCTCCGAGCCACACGAGGTCCGAAACCCAGGACGCGTGGGAGTCGCCTGCGAGGAAGATGTTATTGCCGATCCCATTGTTGTACAGGTGGCTGAACGTCCTGTTGCGGTTCGATTGGTACTGTGGCGGTTCGGGTCAGCTTTCAGTGCACTGTGGAAGGAGTTTTATGCAGAATCGTGTGGAAACAGAGACTGCCCCCCTGGAGTAAGTTTCAAAGCCGGTCTCAACCAGAAGCTTCCAGGCAAGCGTTAAAGCAGCCTGCAAAAGGGACAAATTGATATCCTCAGAAATATGAAAGTGATGTTGAAAACTGCTTACCCCATCCCACGCGTCATTGTTCAAGGGACTCTCATCGCCAAAGGCTATCGACTCATTCATCCGACTGAAAACGATCTGGCTGCCAATGATGCGCCACGTTGCTCCGCGCTTGGAGGAGGAAGAGAGTTGGTTGTAGAACCAATTCTCCTGCCTCGATCCCATGAGCGACCGGCCAGCGTCGTTGGCAATTGAATGGACATAGTCCGTGTTCCAATACAAGTCCGTTATAGATCTATCGTACTGCCTGGTATCAAGCATGATCAAGTCCGCGAGGTTGCCGAGCTTGAATGAGCGCCAGATTCTCAAGTTGTCGTCCATGTCCACTTGGCGAATGGGCATCCACTCGAAATAAGCGCGAATGGCGTTCATCCTGCGCTGGTCTACTGAAACCCCGCCGTCTTTGACAAAAGAATCTTCGGTGTTGTTCAGCTCGGAGGAGCCGTCCCGATAGGTGTTGTCTGCAACCTCGTGGTCGTCCCAGACCGGGATCCACGGAAAGCTCTGGTGGCTGGCGAGAAGGTCCAGGTCAGTCCGGTAGGTGGCAAGACGCTTCCTGTAGTCGTAGAGGCTGAATATCTCCTTGTCGGGAAGTGGCACTCTGCCGATAGTCTGACCCTGGCCGTAGTCCCCATTCTTGTATTCGTATATGTAATCTCCCAAGTGGATAACGTAGTCAACAGAGTCTTTGCGTACTGGGTTGCCGAATGCGTTGAAGTAGCCAAAGGGGAAGTTCGAACATGAGTAGACGGCGATTCCGATCTCAGTCACGTCGTCGTCCTCTTCAGGCGTGGTCTTTGTCCTCCCCAGTGGGCTCTTGTTGTCGGAACCGCACACGTTGAACTGGTACCAGTACGTCGTGAATGGCTCCAGGTTTTGAGCTTCAACCTGGTTGGAACGAAACATGAGTTAGCACCCATCATATTCAACTCAAGTGGTCCCGGTCCGCCTAACCTTGACTGTGTAATCGATGTCAGAAGTGGTATAGATGGTACCAGAGTCCACCACGTTCCCCAGCTGTTCATCCGAGGCGACCTTGTACTCTACACAGATAGGAGCCTTCGACAAGGAGATGTATTCCTGAGTGTCATGGTTGTATAGCGGCACGTAGCCGGACACGGTTGCATTTGATTTGTCGTTATCTAGCACAGGACTGACGCGCGTCCACAGGATAACACTGTCTGGATATGGGTCGCCTGAAGCAACACCGTGGGTGAAATTCAATGTGGCCGGGTCTAATGGGCTCTGTGGGTCATTTCTCTTGACGACCCTGTGGATAGAGACACCGAGAGATGGATGGTGCTCAGAGGGACTGCGGTAGTTGATGTTCGACGTCCAGGAGGCTTGTACAACCGCGGCGAGAGCGAGGAAAGCAGTGGCTTGAAACCCCATGTTGCCGACAATCGAAGAGAAGAGCAACTGTTCTAGACGGCGCAACAACTTGAACACAGTCGGTTCACCGATGCCGGGAAACGGTGAGCTTCGTCGTCTTTATATCCGCATCCCGCACTCTATTGATCTACATCATCAGGTAGCATTGCGTCTGCCAGAGCGAACTGCTGGCTAATATTCATGCTTGCTGCAGCCGATGTTCCTCTGCATCGCTAGCCCGGGACACGTTCTCGCTTCACCAATCAGGCCGACCCGATTAGGCATGAGTTCGGTGAGGGTTCGTCTGGTTTGCAAAAAGTCTGCAGCGGGTCGCAGAGCGGCCTACCAGGATGTCGTCGTCATAGTCAACGTGCTAGACCGCGTCGCCGGCTCACCCGAGGCATCGAAGCTTTCCAACGACGGACAGCGTGCTTCCATTGACGCGTTCCATTGGTTCTCGGTGTTACGGTTACATCGTTGGTCGTGTGGCCTTGGCAGGGACACCAGATTCTTGTCCAGGATCTCGTTAGTTCTCCATGGGTATCCTGTATTTCGAGTATGATATCTGGCATACTAATATCCACTACAATATCCAGTGTAATTACACAAACATGCCATGCCCGGCGTCAGTGTGCTGACTCCTCGAGACGCAGTTGGAGTTGCATGCAACCAGAGTTACGAGGTCCATCTTCTCAGGCTCTACCTACCCCGCGTTGACAGGCTTGGCCGAACTGTGCGACCCAGCCGTCCGGCATTAGCTCCAACCACAGCAGTTGACACCAAAGCAGCCAGTCGCGGCACCACCAGAGCGAGGCAGATGCTTCTACTTCTTCAAAAACGACATCTCCAAACGCCAAAGCAGGTGAAACATATGCAAAACTAGTAGTTGATTTTTGGATGCTTGTCAACGTGTCTAGTGTCTAGTGCTACAGTAGCGTCCTGAATCACGTTGTGCTGCACAGGATCTGGCGTAATATGAGCCAGACAGAGTTGTGACTGTATATGTAGATGTATATATATATATATATAATATATAATATACTGTATATATATATATATGTATATGAGAAATTTTTTATATATATTATATATAGATTTATATATAGATTTATATATAGATTTATATATATTATATATAAATTTATATATAGATTTATATATTAATAAGAAATAAAAGAAATAAAAGAAATAAAAGAAATAAAAGAAATAAAAGAAATAAAAGAAATAAAAGAAATAAAAGAAATAAAAGAAATAAAAGAAATAAAAGAAATAAAAGAAATAAAAAAATTAATAAAATAAAATTTATATTTCCTTTATAAAATTAATTATAAATATAAATTTTATATTAATATATAGCTTAAATTTTAATTTACTTAAAATAATTTAATAAGATTTATTTTAATAAAGCTTTCCCTTAATATTTTACTTAAAATACTTTTTAAGCTAATATTAATATTTTATATATTATTAGTAAGGGCAGGGAAATATATAAGGAATAATACTGCGCTGGATTTTAGCTAGCTATAAAAGCTAGCTTTTTTATTTATTTTAAATATTCTTTTAAGAAATCAACTCTTCTCTTTTCTTATATATTTAATGTTTTAATTAAGCTTTTTTTATTTTTAAGAATTTTTAAAAATATTTACCTTTTCTCTTTCTTTAACTCCCTTTTATTCCTATTTTTCCTCTTTATTATATTAAAGCTCCTTCTTAAGCTATCCTTAAGAGGGTTTAATAAAACTTATCTCTTATTTATTTAAGTAATTTATTTTTATTAATAATTTAGCTTAAGTATAATTTTAATTTTATATATTTTTAATTAATAATAAAAAGAATAAAAAGTTAGCTATAAATTAATTATTTATTAATTTTATTTCTTTTTTTATTTTTATATTAAATATTATTAAATTATTTTATATCTTATCTTAAAGCTTTAATTAAAGCTTATATTTATCTTTATTTTATTATAAAAAAGAATTAAATATAATTAAACTTATAATAATATTATAAGTATTTTAAGATTATTTTTTAATTTTAAAATACTTTTTATATTTTTAAGATTTAAATAAAATATTATTTTAATTTCATATTTATATATTATTAAGCTTTAAACTTATTTTAAGTTTTTTATTAAAGATTATGCTTAAATATAATAATAATATAAACTTAAGATTAAAATAATAAATTTAAACTTTATAAGCATTATTTAATATTAATTAAAAGTACTTTAAATTCTTAATTAATATCTATTATTATTATTATAATCTTAAGTTTAAAATAAAGGGAGTTATAATATAAAATTAAGGCGCTTATTTTGCTTACTTATAAGTTTAATAAGTAGCATTATATTATATATTTTTATATTAATTAAATTATATAAAAAGCTTAAACTTAAAATATAACTTTATTTAAGCTTTAATTAAACTTAAATTTAATTTATTAAGGGTTTAATATAATATTAATAAATAAGGTATTAAATATAAATTTAAAAAACTTTTTTTATTATAATTTTATAATACTTATTTTTTAATAAAATATCTTTTTATTAAATTTATTTTATTTATTATATTTAATAATATCTTTATTTTTTAAGCTTTAATTTAAATATTTTATAATAATATTAAAGATAAATTCCTTAAAAAAATAATTACTTTAATTAAAAATATTATTATTTTTTAAGTTTCTTTATTTTATTATTATTTTAATAAAATTTATTATAATATATATGCTATATTTTTAAGCTTAAAGCCTTTTTAAATTTATTTTTATTTTAAAAGTATCTTTAAACTTTAAAAACTATTTATTCTTTTTTACTTAAAGCTAAGAAAAAAATCTTAAGAAATTTATTAAGGAAAAAAGGAAATTTAATTTTATTTATTATTAATTAAAGTATTAATCTTGCTTTAATTAAACTTTATAATTTATTATTAATAATAAGTTAGGGATTTAAATTAATATTTTAAAAGTTTTATTTTTTATTAATATAATAATTTTATTATAAATAGCTTTATTTATAATTTATAATTTAAATACCTTAAAGTTTAATAAAATTAATATTATTAAGGTTTTAAATAGTTTTAAGATTATTATTTATTAATTTTCTTATTTAAATAATTAAATCTTAAAATTGCTTAAATAATATTATATTATTTTAAATTTAATAAAAGTAATTAAAAGCATTATTATTAAATAATATATTTAAAAAAATTAAAAGAAAAAGCTTTTTATTTTTTATAAATTTAATAATTAAAATTATTATATAAACTTAATTATAATTATTAAAAATATTATTTATAATAATTTTTATAATAATTTAAAAATATAAAAAGAAAAGATTATAAAATATAATTAAGAATTTAATAATATAAATAATATCTTTTTCCTTATAACTTAGGCTTTTTATAAAATATTTTTATTATATTTAAAAAAATAGTTAATAAGGAAAGAGATTATTTATAAATTAATAAAGAATATTTTTTAATTGAATTTTAAGTATATTTTGCTAAAAGTTATTAATTAAGAATTTAAGTATTTTAAGTAAGATAAGTACTTATTTATATAAAATAATTTTAATTAAAATTTATTTAATATAAAAAAATTAAATTTTTTTTAAAAAAGTTAAAATAATTTTAATTTTTTAAATTATTTTTAAAATAAAAATTTATAAGTTTAATAATTTTTATTTAGGTTTAATTATATTAATATTATTAAAAAATATAGTTAGGATTTATAAAATGTAAATAAGCTTATTAAAAGGTTTATAAAATTAAAGCTTAATTTAATTAAGTTTAAAAATAAATTTAAGTTATTTTAATAAGATATTAAAGTTTTTTTTTATAATAAATAATAAAGTAATTTTAAGGTAATTAAGCTAAGGGTTATAAATTTTATTTAATAGCTTTTAATAAAACTTAATTAAAGTAACCTTAATAATAATAAAGCATAAATTGTAATTTTAATGCTTTTCTTTAAAAAAGATAAGTTATTTAAAGTTTGCTATAGCTATATTTCTTAAGATTATAATATATATTAATATAATAAGTTTAAATAATTTTTCTTAAATAATTTATTAATAGCTTTTAAGTTAAAGAAATTATTAATATTTCTTAGCTTATTTAAAGATATTTAAGCTAATCTTTTAAAATATTTAAACCTTATTTATATTTAATTATATTATAATTAAAGTAATTATAATTTAAAAAGATATATTTATAATTAATTAAAGTTTTTATTTAAGAAGGAAAGATTTAATTTGCCTTATATAATTAAATATTATAAGCTTATTAAGATAAATTCTTTATTTAAAGGAAAGGTTTTATTAAGAATTTTAAAAGTAATTTAAGAGCTTAATAATTAAAAGAAAGTTAGCTTAATTTTTATATTTATAAATCTTATAAATTATATAATTTATATTAAGGAAAAGCTTATAATTTTAAGTAATAATAAGCTTTTTTAAATAAATATTATTATTATTAAAAAAAAGCATATAATTAAAAATATTAAAAATTAAAATAAAGTTATAAGAATTATAAAGGCTAATTAAATTTAATTTAAAGATTTTAAAAACGTGGAAAATAATTAATTTTAAATTATTAATAATAAGTTATAATTAAAGAATAAGAAAAAGATAAGGAAAAGGAAAAACTTATTTATTAATTAAAATTAAATTTAAAAGGAAAATGCTAAGTTTTTTATAATAAAAGCAAGCTTAATTAATATAATAAACTTAAAATTAAAAAAATATACTTAATAACCCTTATTATTTAAAAAAAAGTAATTTAAGTAATTTTAATTATAATTATTAAAATAAGTATTATGAATATCCTAGTGCTTAATAATATTAATTTAACCTTAATTAAGCATTTATTAATAATATAATTTAAAATATATATTTTATTAAAGATACCTTTTAAGTTAATATATCTTAAGAATTATATTAAAGATTTATTTCTTAAAATTAGCATAATTATGCTTTTAATAAATAATATTAAGGTTAATATTTTAATTAATTTATTATAAAT